TCTTCATGTATATTTTTAATATTGAATGGTTTTTCTATTTCGTTTCTTTCAACTAAATCATTACTATATGAGTGTCTTTCTAATGTCAATGGTGCTTTACTAATCATTCTCATACTATGTTGTCTTAAAAAATCTTTTTGAATGCTATCATTTTTTATAAATGTACTTGTTTCATTAAATATTTTTTCCGTTATATTCTGTCCTGATTTTGATAATGCATACTTAAACTACTATTACTTAATGCATATGAAATTCTATAACAAACTACCATAGGTATGTCTTCTGATTCCCTTAACGTTTTTTCTTGAAAATTACATATTATTCCTAAACAGTTATTTATTTTCTTAGTTACTAATGGTATAGGAAATTGTAATGATACATTAAATTTAATCACTCCATATCCGAGATCTCCTTCTATTTCTCCTAGTTTTTTTTTTTATTTTTTATGCATGATTCTATTGTCTTCAACTATAATGTTTACAGGCGTCTTGATTCCTTCTCTAAATGTTGATTTTAATATGATTTGAAATATGTTTATATGTATATATCCTATTTTCTTTCTCTCTTCTTCTTTTATTTTCTCTAATCTTTTTTCTATCTGACTAATTTCTACAAGAGGTGCTTGAAACTTATAGTTAGCTTGCTCTATTTTTATAGGTTGTTCTCCATTCATAATTCCATACACTATTGTATTTCTTCTAATTAATTTGTTTAACAAACTATTATTTATTCCTTCTCTTTTATCTATATCTAAATTTCCTTTATTTTTTACTTTCGTTACTAGCTTTTTATCTAATAATATATATGATAAGTAGGTTCCTTTTTCTTCTGTATGTTCTATAGTTTGATACTCGGTTTCCATTTTTATTATCTAACTATGAATAATCTTTCAAAAAAAAAAAAAAAAAAACTGTTTTCTAAGTTTTAAATGAGAGCAAGAGTAAATATAGAATGATGATAATATACCGTTGATTTTCTCCTTATTTCCAACACAACTGGGACGTGATCCTTTTGGCATGCAGCGCCTCCGATCCTTCAACCAGCTATTCAGTGCTCCAGGAAATGCTTGAGAATATCTTATGTATATTATTTCACTCTTTATTTTACTCTTACTTCTAACTATTTAGCTGCTCATGAGTATTGAAACACACATATTTTTATTAATTCAGAATTGTCGTGCCTTACAAATGAAATGGTCGGTCTTATTTATTGGCAGAGCATATCATACCATCATCCACACACTATCTTACATTATTGGTCGGGACCATCATCCACACACTATCTTACATTATTGGTCTTGACCATCATCCACTATCTTACATTATTGGTCGGGTCACGTCTTTTAGAGACGTGCATGACTCTTCCGGTAAACAAAACAAACAAAAGAAAAAAGACTATTAAAAATACAAATTACAAAAGTCGTATGACCCTTTGTCTTTATGACGTAAGGGCTTACGTTCACTCGTCCATTATTGCGTTTTCTTCTTCTTGTACTAGTTGCAGATATTCTCCAACTGCTTCTGGGTTACATTCTTCACATACATGGTCTTCACTGAACTCCTTTTGCAATCTTGTACATATTTTTCTTTTTAATTCTTTGGGTATATCAAACTGAATATTAATCAACTCATCTAAGTATTTGTTTAGTGATTGAATATATGTCTCTGTTGGGTTTGTTGCTTGCATGCTCCATATCACAACTGATTTGGAAGTATAATTGATTCTTCCCTTTATCCGGATACCTTTGTTAAGAATCATAACATAGTTATTTAAAAACTGTGTTATTTCATCTTCATGGTGTGCTTGACCAATATCTGGATAATTATTGTTGCTGACTCCTATTTGACATAATTGTATTGCGGTTTGTATGACTTCTCCCCCCTCTGCAAAGACTGGAGTTGTGGCGAAAATCTTAAAAAATCCTTCCTTCTTTCCTGATTTCTTTGATGCATACTGACTCACGGCTCTTTGTATGTTTGAGGGAAAGTATTGAAAAATGTCTGTTCCCCGAAAATATATACAACTGACTAATCCAGATTGAAACAACATATATGCTTTTAACGGGTTTGCTTCAGGAAGTATAATTACTTTTGGTCCTTGATAGATTCCTTCAATTGGATATATACTTGTTTGCTTGTCTGCTTTTGTATAATTAACTACAAACTTGAATTCATGATTGAATCTTGTTTGAGTTAATTTTGTTAACTCTTCTTTTTGCTGTTTACTTTGTATATTGCCAATTGTTAATGGCCTTAGTGTAGGAATTGATCCTATCACTTGCATCTGTTTTTGTGGTGTCGTAACTGGCATTTTTGCTTTTCCTGCATATGTATTTTGAAGTTTTTCTAGAGCCTGTTGTGCTTCAAACAGACTAGAAAATTTCTGATGTATAATATTCTTGTTACCTATGGTGTGAACTGAAACTTCACTCCACTGTGTATATATTCCTCTGTTTTCTCCTGTGAAGATCACATAATGCATTTTAGGTTTTTCTTCTTCGTCGAATGCTTTTTCTAATTGCTTCGAAGATTCAATGGATTCTTTTTTCTTTTCATTTTTTGTCTCTGTTGGAAACAGGACATTTCTTATTGCTTTAATCTCATTTTCTACTTGCATGAGTTGTTTTCGTAACTCTTCTGCTTGCTTTTCCAGTTTTTGCATGCTTTTCATTAGTAATGGTTTAAGTGCTTCCATTCTCTTGTTAATGTATCTTCAAGAAAATTTTCGTTACTGGAAATATAAAGCGAAATATAATCATATTGTTGTGCCTTTAAACTCCATCTTAAAAGTCGTCCTTTGTTATAAGATTCTTTTATCTTATATTTTGTAAAATCTTTTGTATAGAGACTATCGGTTTGAAAAATAAACTTAACTGGTTGCAAATCTAATTTAAATTTTTCCAAAGCATTGATAAAAGCTAATGTTTCTTTTTCATGTGTTGTGTAATTACGTTTTGTTGATTTAAATGTTCCTGAGACCCATTTGGATATAAGTTGTTACCTTCCGTTGTTTTCTTTCGTGTGTTTTTACTTCAGATGGTTTATTGTTTGTGATAAACTGTTTAAATTCTTCGTATATATATGGAATTGCTTGAAGGATTGCTCCCCAAGTATCTTGACTTGCATCAGTATTTAAAATAAGTAAATCATTAGGTTTAGGTAAGTAAAGTTGTGGTAGATGAGTACATAATCTTTTTAGAGATTGTACTGCTCTAGTTGCATCATTTGTCCATTTCCATGGTGTTTTTTCAGAAATCATTCTTTGCAATAATTCTATTTCTTTTGCTAAACTTTTTATAATACCTTTTTTTCCTATGTAAGTAAGACATCCGAGAAATTTTTTTATTTGATTTCTATTTTCAAGCTGATCTGGAAACTGGTGTATTTTTTCAAGTAAATGTTTTTGTGGTTCTATATAACCTCCTTCAACTATTTTCATTCCTAAAAATTCAGTTTCTGTTTTAATTCAGTTTTTGTTTTACAAATCTTTATTTTTTCTTTACTTAAAATAATTCCTTTGTTACCTAATTGTATAAGGACTTTTGCAAGTTCTTTAAAATGTTCTTCTTTTGTCCCTTGTGTAAAAATAATTATATCATCTATGTAAGCAAGGCTTATTGATTCTAATCCTTTAAGATTATTATCCATAAATCTTTGATAAATACTTGGTGCTTGTTTTAATCCAAAGGGCATAACATTATATTCATAATGATTTTGAGGTGGACAACTAAATGTTGTTAATGGTTTAGTTTCTTCATGTAACCGTAACTGCCAATATCCTGATTTAGCATCTAATGTACTATACCATTTTGCCTTTTTAATTCGACTAAAAATATAATCTTGTCTTGGTAACTTATATGCATCTCCTTTAGTAGCTTTATTCATTTCTTTGTAATTTATAACCATTCTACGTTTTCCTCTTTTTAACTCATTATGATTTTCTACATAGAATGTTGGTGCACTATGTGGACTTGTACTTGGTTGTATGATTCCCTTTTCTAACATCTTAGTAGTTTCTTCTTTAAATTCTTTTGACATCTCTTTCTGTATATGGTATTCTATTTGGTACATTAACTTCTTTATTAGGATCTATCAATTCTATTTTTATTATCATATTATTCGTATTTTTATTTGGATCTAATGGATCTTGACTACATATTTTTTTCTAATAACTGATTAACGCGTTCTTCTTTATACTTATTACTTTGTAAATGTGTAATGAAACTTTTCTTAATATCTCCCCCCTTATGAAGGAAGACGTATTATATATTTCTGTAGTAATTATTTTACTGGACTGGGTATCTAGTTGTGGACAGCTAAGACTTATACTATTTCATCGTTGTATAAATGGACTATATAACTTGAATGGTAAACCTGTATTTTGTTTATAAATGCTTGGCAAAGGAAATCTTTTTTTCCTCTATTAATAATACTAAATCTGTTGCTCTGTAATCAATAGTTAATGTTTATTTGCAATTCTTACTATAATGGGTTTGTCTAATTTCTTCCAATATTTACTAGGTAATATTGTTTCTTTTGCTAGACATATTGTTGCTCCTATGTCTATATATGCTAGTAAAAATTTGTTAAATAGTTTTACTTTTATAAACGTACTATTTTTACTCATCTTTTGATTCAGATGTCTCTAAATCACTATCTGTTTCTGATTCTAAATCATATATATCAAAATCTAATAGTTCGCCTTCTTCGTATACGTCTTCTATAGGTTCATATCCTAAAGAGAATATCATTTTTAACTTCCTTTCCCTATCTGATATGTTTTTAGGACATTCATTTGCATAGTGTCCTATTTCTTGACATTTCCAACATCTACAATTCTTTTTTCCTTTAGGACAATATTTAGGTTTTCCTAGATATTTTCCTTGTTTTCTAAATTTCCTTTATATCTTGTTTTCCATGGTTTTCTAAATGTTTTATATCTTCTTGGTCTATATCGTCTATTGAACCTATGATATCTTTTCTTTTTGTATGGGTTATAACAACCAAATTCTTGTGGTACACTTTCTAATTGTTTGCAACATCTTGAATCGATATTAGTCATTTCATAATGTTCTAATTTTCTTATACAAAGTTCATCTCTATATTCTTTTGCATATTTTTCTAAGATTCCTAGAGTTTTTTCTTCTTTTGTTTCACTAATTTTCTTTTGAATATATTTATTCATTTCATATTTAAGTTTACTTTCAACTATTTCTATTAGTCCTGATCGATCCTTAATTTTATAGAATTTTTCTCTTACTTGACAGAAGAAATTTACTATGTAACATATATTACAGAGCTTCATATTAGTTAGAAATCTAACTACCTTATCTTTATGTGTTGCTTTTGATTCTTGTCCTGTAATTCCTAAAAATTCTTTTAATAAAACTTTTGCTAATTCTTTTAAAACTCCTATTTTATATTCTGCTCCTGTTTCTGAACCATTTGCTTCAAGATTTAATAAATTTTGGGTATTTTCTAGATAATCAAATAATACTCGAGATGTTTTATATCTTATATAATTAATAAAATTGATTAATGTCATTCCATTTATCATTGAATCGTTAGTTTGAACTAATAATTCCAATTGATTAGTCCAAATGACTATTAAATCCTCTTCATTAGTCGAGCAATCAATATTTAATATTCCATTAGATAAATTTCTCTCTTTTTCTAAATATGTTGGTGGTATATTTTTCTTAATTTTTCTTGATGGTACCTATAATAATTTCTGTATAAAAATCTCTAAAACTGCTTTCTACATTATTATATGAAGTAGATGCTTCATTATTATTTGTTCTAGGCCGTTTTGGTGATAATGGTGGTGTTGTATGAGGTTTTTGATCCGTCATATTAAATGTTTGTTCATCTTCATCTTCACTATCTATTCCGTAAATTATCCCTTGTTTATCTTCATCATCTATTTGCCATTCTAGTTTCTTCAATATTACATTTTTCTAATAATTGTGCTAATCTTTCTATATCATCCATTAGAACTTGTTGGTGGTTCTATTCAAACTGCTTTAAATAATTTTTTCCGCGTTTTTTCTTTTTGTATTGAATTCTGTAATTCTTTTATCGATTCCTTTATTTCTTCTAATATTTCTAATGTTTCTAATTGAGTTTTCTTAATTATTTCTATAAGTGTTCCTATTTGTTCAGAGACTTTTGGTGGTTCACTCATAATTTTTTCTAAAATATTTATATTGTTATTTTTATTTTTGCTTTATTTATTATTTGCAAAAAAATTGGGTTTTAATAGTATTTTTAATTGAAATGTTTTATATTGGTAATAGTCTAGATAGGTATGCTCATAGCAATTTTTATATATTAAATATTATTAAAAATGACACTTGGTGTCTTTTTATTGGTTACTATTATCATATGAACATACAGATCAACAATGGAGGTTTGATACTAGAGAGAGAGAGAGAAAGTTTGGGAAGATGAAGTAGGCGACAATATCAGAGAATGAAAAGTGAGAACAAAAACTGCTAAGCACCCTTTATATAGTTAGGGTTTACAAAAGTCCTTAAGGGCAAAATAGTAAAATACATCTAAATATTACTATAACTGATATTATAATGTTATTACCCCCCCGCAAACTGAGAATGAATATTGTTCATGTTCAGTTTGGAGAGTAAATAGGAGAAGGCATGTCCAGGTAGGGCTTTGGTCAAAATGTCTGAAATCTGCTCCTTTGATTCAACATGGTGCAGCTGGATAAGTCCTTGAGCTACCTTTTCTCTAATAAGATGACAGTCAATCTGTATATGCTTTGTTCTTTCATGGAAAACAGGGTTAGTGGCAATAGCAAGTGCAGATTTACAATCAGAATAAAGATGAACAGGAGTATCATGTGAAATTTTGAAATCATCTAGAAGATATAAAAGCCATTGAATTTCACATGTTGTGGAAGCAATTGATCTATATTCAGCCTCAGCAGATGATCTACTAATAGTAGATTGCTTTTTAGATTTCCAAGAAATTAAAGACTGGCCTAGGAATATAGAAAAACCAGTGATGCTTCTTCTAGTATTTAAGCAAGAGGCCCAATCAGCATCACAATATGCATATAACTTTAAATCAGAGGTTCTGGAAAAGAAAAATCCTTTACCTACTGTACCTTTTAAGTATCTGAGCACCCTGTGAGCTGCATTCAAATGTTGGACTGTTGGTTTAGATAAAAACTGACTCAATGTTTGAACACTGTATGCAATGTCAGGTCTGGAAATTGTCAAATATAATAACCTACCAACAAGTTTTCTGTAGGCAGTAGGCTCTGTAAGTTTGTCATTTTCAGTACAAACAGACAATTTCAAAGTAGGATCCATAGGGGTGGGTGCAGGTTTACTGCCTAAAAACCCAGTGTCTGTTAGTATGTCTAGAGCATACTTTCTTTGACACATGTTTATACCAATATCTGAGTGAGCAAATTCCAAACCAAGAATATATTTCAATTTTCTGTGTAGGTGATTACTTTATGGATGTGGAGTTGCAGTTTTTCGAAACCTTAATTTGTAAAAATTGGGAAAACATGTCTTAAGTTAGAAAAATTAATGAAATTAACATACTATAAAGTGCAATATTCGTTGCGAAATAGTGTGTGATGAAATAGAGTTCCCAATTTGTGATGGCCCAGAAGCAATATAATATAATAATAAGGAATTTGCACCACGTACCATTCAATACACTTTATATTACATTTATACATCTAATAAATACTTATTTGCAACTTTACAAAATTTTGCATACTTATTTGCACATATACCAGATTTTTAATATAATGAGTTCTTGATTTCAGCATTGTTGTGAACATGATTACAAAATAACGGAAAATCATCCGAATTCAAAACACTTGCCCCACCAATCGTTTCGTTTTCAATCCCAATAAAAACCCTATTTCCCCATCAGCCACCCACATCAAAACCTTCAATTTTCCCATTCAAATTCGATTCGCCACAGATCAATAACATCCTATTCGCCTCACGATTCTGAGAATTAGCATTTTCTTCCCCGAGTCTAAAACCCCTCAACGGCCCGAAATCTGGGTCCCCGCACGAGCTGCCCCGGAAGCGGGGGTACCCATGGCCGAGCCGGCGCTGTAGTATCTGATTCACCACCGTAGGAGGAGTAGTGCGAAAGATCGTCCCCGCCATCTCAATCTCGATCCCACGACGACGGCGGTGGTCTCTCCTCCGTTGCCTCTCATTTTATCATCTCGTTCAAAACCTCACCAATGAAGGATAACTGGAAATAAATCGCCAATTTGAAGCCTATGCATTTTCAGTGAATCAGCAAATACACACACACACAACATGGATTCGACTTCAAGTAAAGAGAATGAACGAGTAATTTCAATTTTTAATTAGTTTTGTTGCCTTATGTATGTGTTGGTTTTTCTGGCTGAAAATGCTCTTTTTGGGGAAATAAATTTGTGTTCCACTATTTTTTATGTTGTTTTCAATTTTTTGTTTATGTGATAATTATTGCCTTATTAATAAAGGAATAGGAAAATGATATAGTCCCGACGGAACCATTTCGTTGAGATTTTTAACCGTTAGATGCACATACTACACTAGTTAATAAACTAGAAATATACTGTTAATAAAATAAAAATTATCTATATGTTGTTAATAAACTAGAAATATACTGTTAATAAACTAGAAATAAACTAAAAATATACTGTTAATAAAAACGTGAAAGATATACCATTAATAAAACGTGAAAGTTATCTTTTTTGTATATCTATAGTATATATTCAGTATATTTTCGATATATGATATTAACGTGAAAGTTATCTTTTTTGTATATGTATGGTATATATTTAGTATATTTTCGATATATGATACAATTTGTTGTTTTTTGTGGTTTTGGTATATTAGAGTATATTAGATATAACATTTTACTGAATATAATAACTTGTTATAATGTGTTTATAAACTATATATATACTTTTTATGTGTTTTTTTAATGGATTTATTGTATATATATGTATGGTTTATTTTTTTATGAAAGACATGTTTTTTCATTACAACATATACTGAATATATATACTAACATATACTATATGTAGTGGGTATACACATTATTTTTTCATTCATATGTTTTCGGTTATGAAAATTTTGTACATGATCTATATGTTACCATCAAATACGAAAATTTACATGTTGCATGATTTATATGTTACCATCAGTACATGTTGCGGGTATATGTTACGGGTATATACAGTATATACCAAAGTTGTACAATACACATATCCATAAAATATACATAAAATATACACTCGAGATTGTAGTAATACAAGCCAGCGATAGATCGAGACACACATATACATAAAATATACTTTAAATATACACTCGAGTTTCAATCTTTTCTCAAAATCGATTTTAGAACCCATATATACATAAAATATACCTAAGATATACACTCGAGATCACGTATTTAATTGCTTTATTAATTTGGAAAAGGTAAAATGAAAAGTAAAGGACGACGGAGAACATGGACATGGACGTTCCACCTTGTCTAGAGAGAGAAAACTATAAACCCTAAATCAAAATTACAGTCCCTGCATTTCAAATCTCCATGTCTCGGCACTAGCACCGCCCAACATCTCCCCATATTCTGGCACCCAATTTTCTGATCGATTTTTGGATTCACCCAATCGCCCTTCTGGAAGTTGCATTTTGCTCCAATTGGTCTGGGTGTGCAGATTGAGCCGTCGATTGGTCCTGCCTGATGGATGATTTGGACTTGCTGGCCCGATATTTCGGGCTCAGTGCCCATGGAAAATCCAATCTGACGAGGTCCGCGCCCTCCGATCATCGATCCATTGACGATCCATTGGTCGGTGATGTCTTCGGTGGGCAGCTGAATTTCACGGCAAGCTCGAAGAATCCCGATGGAAGCAACAAGCACTCGAATCGAGGTCTCTAGTGCTCGTGGATTGCCAGCACGCACGTCCTTCTCGTCACCGAAAAACTGGCGGGTCTACCTTGCCAAGAAGGTGACAAATTTTTGAAAACTTTCTGAGGGATTTTTTTTGGATGGGGTTGCGTGAATCTTGGGTCTTTATTGATTTGTTACTATCAAATATGGAATGGAGATCTGTAACTAATTTGGAAACATTAATGTAATTAATTTATGTCTATTAGGTATATACACAATTAATTTGTTACTATCAAATATGTTACTTGCTTCAAGCCCACATTTGTTTTGGACTAAGATTTTGGATTTTGGGCCCAACAGACTTCACAGAATGCTTCCACATTTTTCGTGGCATCTCAAACCCTATGTGGATGATTAGAAAATAAATCCCCAAATTGTGATAAATAAATTGCATTAGGGTTTCTATCGGAATTTATCTCCTAGCAACCAGCTCGTTTTTTCCATCCGTACAGCGTTGCTTTCTGTGACTGGTGTTGGAGCTTGGGATACTGAAGATGGAAGCTTCGAGTGCTGAATTTGCGGCGGGGCAGAGGCTTCTGAGCTCGGCGTTTGAGGCTCTTCTGCTTGAAACCTCAACTGCCCTGGCAAAGTCCCTTGTTCATTTTCTCCTCACGGTATGATGCTCTTTGTCATCTTTGCTAACTGTATGTGGCAAGCAATTCAAGATTACTTATCTTCGCTTGATTTGGGTTTTCGTTAACTGTAGCTGCTTTTTATTTTTCGTTTTGATTATTATTATTTTTATTTCGTTTGTGGTGTAATTAGCTTCTACTTCTCTGTTGTCTTTGTAGTTTGCTCATGAACTTCCGAATTTTGGGTTTTTGGTTTTAATTGGGATTGCGAATGGACTTCACAGTTTTTCGTTTGTTCTGTTTTCAGCAATTTAGCCATTGCTGGTCCTAGTTCAGTTTATTTTGATATTGTATTAGCTATATGCAATTATTAGCTTTCTTGCAGGTATTCGCTTGCTGGTGTTTGATTATTTTCCTTTGCCGTGTTGCTACTTTTTCTGCTCTTTTCGTCACCGTTTAGCCCTTTTTTCTTGATTGTTTGCAGCTGGTTGTTGATGTTTAGAAAACAAATGTTATATCATTAGATGGTGTGGCATCCCTTGATTTTGTTAAATTGATGAACTTTGAGATTCGTGCTGTATTCTTGTTTGTGTTTCCCATCGATACTGAGTTCTCGTGGTTGGTAGAATAAAGAGAAGTTAACTTATGAATTTATGGTGCTGAGGATGTATGCAAGATACAGGTTTATTGTGTCATTTCAAGCTGTTGTTTCCATACTTTTTGTTTACCTTTGTGAGTTTCATAGACATAGCGATTAGATCTTGTTCTGGGTTAGTACAATTAGGACTGAGATATGTAGTTCTCAAGTCGGAGTCAATGCGGGAGGAAGCTACATCTCTTTTCCCTTTTCATCCATTTCTGGACAATAATGAGAAATTCTGTCTGGTATTGTTGATTGTTCAGATTGTTTATAGGCAAAATCCTATACTAAGTCATGTTTTAGTGCTTCGTTTTGGGGATAGTTGTTTGTACAGTTGCCAGATTTATTTTTGTATAAATATAATTAAAATTTATGCAGAAATTCAGACAATTTACTATCAGACAGTTTCTTAAATGCTTCAGCTGCAATATCAAGGATTGATTTGTGTGCGATTCTTTCGACCTGTGTCCTAATATGAATTTTTTGCAAAATGCTCGTAATCTACTTAAGTCACCAATCATTAAAGCCGAACTTCTCTTCTATCTTTTGCTAAATTCAAGCAGCCAAGAAGTGAATCTGTTGTTGACCTGTGCCTTCAATTGATTTTTTTTTTTTTT